ATGGCGGTGGGGCTGGGCGACGGTATGGGCGCTGCTTTGAAAGAGAAGGAGAGGAAGAGACTTTGAGGGAGAAGAAAAATGGGATTAGGTATTTTTAGTCTCTTCTCCCGACATTTTATTAATAGGTGAGATGCAATTTATTTATTATTTAAAAAAATTGTAAAAAGCTATAGTTTGATTATTTTTTTAAAAAACAAAAATTTTTAAAAATTTTTAATTTAAAAACAAAAGGATACTTTTATAAATATAACATATCTCCATGCTCTTATATTCTACTAGATTCACTTTTCTCGACTATTTTTCTAAATAGTCGGGAGTCGTAATATTTTAAAAAAGTTAAAACAATATTGCCCGACAATTATTAAAATAATTGGGAAAATCCGTTTTTCCTAACTCTTTCTCAAAAGAGTCGGGAGTTGTAATATTTAAAAAAAATCAAAAAATATTACCAACGCTATTTTAGAATGGTCAGAAATATTAATATCTCCCGACTATTTCGAAAATAGTGGGGAAGTCTAATATTTGAAAAAAAAAATTAAAAACAATAACGCCTAACAATTTATTAAAATATTGGTGTAAAGTCCACTATTCGACTTTTTTCTAAAAGTAGTCAGGAGTGGTAATTTAAAAAGAAATTAAGAACAAATTTTGTCCGAATATGTAATAAAATAGTGGGGAATATAAACCTCTTCCGATTACTTCAAAAACGGTCGAGAGTGGTAAATATAAAAACTAAATTTGCATCATCTAGGTAATGGATCTTGAATGATGGCACGAGAAAGATGAAGGATGACGGTGAAGACAAAAGAGTGCAAGGAAGATGATGAACTTTAGGTTTTTGAAAAGAACATCGAAAACATATGAGTAAGAAAGCAGTTTGCAAAAGGGCGTGGTTTGATTTAATTTATTTTAATTTTATTTACCTAGAATGAAAAAATATCACTATATTAATATTATACTTGAATATTTCATAAAAGCAGCTTATTTTATTGGTGTTGGTGTGTCCATAAGTCTCACTCATCTTGAGTTCAATTCACACAAGTAACTAAATATGCTATCACTTATATATATATATATATATATTTTTTTTTTTATAAAAAGATATATCTACTAAGTTTTTATTTTTCTTTTTATTGAGAAAGATGGCTTATTTCTATTTTCTTTCAAAAAGTTCCTATTAATATTCTTAAAAATTTTACACTAAGATTTAATTAAAAAATTTCTATCTAAATTCAAAATTTTATGTTATACAAAATTTAAAGGTTCATGAACCTAACTAGTTCCAATTTAAACCAAAATTAATTCCTAAGCATTCGATTAAGTTGACTACCTTTCATTCCAATAAAAAAAAATTCAGGGTATAATTTAAATATGAATATTTTATTTACGGAATGCTTGGTGAAACTAGAATTAACTTATATTATTTTATGTTTATCATCATATTTTGATTTTCATGATGAATTAAATTTATTCAAGGAAATGTGGATACAAAATAAATATATATTATTTATTTTAAATAGAAAATATAATTAGATTAAATTTTTTATTGTAAAAAGTATATTTTTTGTTTTTTTGTAAAAATATAATAATAGAGGGTTGAGAAAATAATTGAAGTTCACTAGGCTCAAACTCGGGACCGAAGAGGAAGGGCACAATTAAGCAGGGTAAGCAGACCACTATACAAAATATCATTTTCTACTTATTTCATGGAGTATTTGGGGAAACTATTAATCATAAATCTATACTCATACAATCGGAGAATCCCGAAATAATTAATATCATCCATAAAGCTGCAGTTTTTCCGACTGAAATGAAACGTGCTCAAAGTCATTTGTGACACTTTTTGTATGTCATAGATTCTCAAGATGGTCTAGGTAACTGTCACGAAATACTTGAATTTTTTTTCTTGGCAATTATAAAATGTCATAAAACATGGAAATTTTCGTAGATCACCGTTTTTTCTACCAAAATCGCGCCTCCACCATTTCGTGATAGTTTTTAATTGTCATAAAACTTACAAAATCTGAAAAGTTGCATTTTTCTCCGCCAAAAACGCGCCCCAATTATTTATAACAGTTTTTTTTCATCTAAACTTTTTTACTGTTCATAACTGTCATGGAAAACCATATTTACTTTTAAAAGATTAGTAAGAGTTTGAGACTTGACTTTTTAACTACCTACCTAGTGGAAAACTTGGATAAAATAGATGATTAATTTGCTTGCATATATTTGATAGATGAAGATCTTAAAACCTACAAAGAAGCTATAAATTATTTAGATTCTAGCTCATGGAAAGAATCAATTGAAAGTTAACTAGACTCAACAGTTATGAATCAAACTTGGGAATTGATAGACCTACCTGTAGGAAATAAATTTATTAGGTGCAAATGGATATTTCAAAGGAAAATGAGATCAGATGACACAATAGAAAAATACAAAACTAGACTAGTGGCTATGGGTTACAAAAAATATATATGGTATTGATTACTTCGATACATATTCTCCTATAACCAAAATAGTTATTGTTAGACTCTGGTAGCTCTTGCTGGTCTTCGTGGCTTAGTAATACATCAGATGGATGTAAAAAAGACATCCCTTAATGAGGATTTAGAGGAGGAGATATATATTGCACAACTTGAAGGTTTTCTAGTTGCTGGTCAAGAAAATAAAGTATGCAAGCTTAAAAAGTCTCTTTATGGTCTTAAACAAGCTCCTAAACACTTGTATGAAAAATTCAATGTCACTTTAGTAAAAAATGGTTATAAAGTTAATTGTTTTGATTCATATGTTTACTTATTTGGAGCTGACTATGTAATTATACGCTTATATGTTGATGACATGCTTATTTTTTGTACTAACTTAAATGCCATTAAGGAGATCAAGTTATCCTATCTACACACTTTAAAATGAAAGATTTAGGAGAAACTGATGTAATACTTGGTGTCAAGATAAGAAAAAATAACAATGACTTTTCCTTGTGTCAGTCACACTATATTGAGAAATATTGAAGAAATTTGACAACTTTGATAAAACACATGTAAGAACACCTTATGATGGTAGCATGCATCTTAAGAAAAATCAAAGCGATAGTAAATCTCAATCTGAATATGCAAAAATCATAGTTAGCATGATGTTTCTGATGAACTATACTAGACCAGATATTGCATACCCTGTGAGTAGACTGAGTAGATATACACATAACTCTAGTAAAGAACAGTGGATTGACTCTTCGTCATTTGTTAAGGTATCTTCGAGGTACAATGAATTATTGTTTACATTTTAACAAATTTCCTGTTGTGCTAGAAGGATATTGTGATGTAAACTAAGTCAAATATAATAATGAGGCAAGCTTCACTAGTAGATACGTGTTTACTTTTGGCGGATGAGCTATCTCATGGAAATCAACAAAGTAGACCTACATTGCTCATTCCACCATGGAATCTGAGTTCTTAGCACTTGAACTAGTAGGACAAGAGGCTAAATGGCTAAGAAGTCTTTTTGGAGATATGCCACTGTGTGGGGAATTTGCACCTGCATCCCTGCATTGTGATTCACAGGCTACCACAGGGATTGCCAAAAACAATGTGTACAATGGCAAGAGATGCCATATACACCTGAGACATGGAGTTGTAAAACAGTTTCTAAGAGATGAAATTATCTCTTTGGAATACGTGAGGTCAAAGAAGAACTTGGCAAATCCTCTCACCAAAGACCAGACGAGGAAGGTAATTCTAGAGTCCTCATGGGACTTAAATCTTGATGTTTCTCACATTATGCAAATCCACAGCCCTTCTTTTGGGTGGTCCGTGTGTGAGCTTGATGAATGTAGTGAAACATTATGCGAATCCATAGTCCTTCTTTTAGGTGGTCTGTGTATGAACTTGATGGATGTACTGAAGCATTATGTGAATTCATAACCGTTCTTTGAGTGGTCCTGCTTGAACTTGATGGGTAATATTCAAAGTCTTCATAGCTCAAGTGTAAGTGGTTTATCTAAGATAAACATGATAAAGCAATAACGTGATTATGGAGGTGAATTCGCTTTCTAAGAAAGAGTCGAGGAACCTCTTTCTAAAGCTTTCACGATGATTCAAGGTTCATAAGTGCATGACCATTAATAGTACTTGACGAATATCGTGTAATCAAAATCAAGGATTTAAACGTGTTGTGGGGTCTCAACCATAATTACTGGAAGTTCAAGAGGTAACTCACTTTCACTACTTAGTTTGTTGCCCTACTTCACTATGCATTAATAATTAAAATTGAAACATATTAATGTTTAAGTTTACTTTCCTTTTTGCTAAGAAAATTCTTTTTCTCTCTTCTCTAATTTTATTATTTTTCATTCATGGGAGATTGTTGAGAATGACATTGTAAAACAAACTAGCCACAAATTGTCCCACATACGATGTTTATCCCTTGGAAAGAAGCTTATATGTCAAAGCCTTGTAGTTGGCTTGTAAACATGGTTTGAGGTAAGCCTAAACTATGGCCCACACGCGCATCGTCACTATCGTCTGTTCGGCTCGAGCTCGGGCACGGGCTTATTTTTTGTACTTCATTCCTTACAATGTTTTGATACTATCAAAACACACGTGACACACTCAGAGGTAATTGAGCTCGGTTATGGTAGGAAGTAGGCTGTTTTATGGGAGTCAAAGGACAAGTGGCAAGGTTGGAGGAAGTTTAGCATTCATAGGCCACGTGGCAAGGTTGGAAGAAGTTTGACATTCAAAGGAACACGTGGAAGGTTTTGGTTTTTTGGAGGTTTTTATTGTTTGGAAAATAAAAGTCTATTTT